TTTACCCGCTTAAATTTTGTTTCAATCATGTTAATTCTGTAGTGTAGTGTAGTGTAGTGTAGTGTAGTATAGTGTAGTGTAGTGTAGTGTAGTGTAGTGTAGTGTAGTGTAGTGTAGTGTAGTGTAGTGTAGTGTAGTGTAGTGTAGTGTAGTGTAGTGTAGTGTAGTGTAGTGTAGTGTAGTGTAATGTAGTCATCCAAAGTTACCTTGAATTTTACCGACTTTTCATAAAATATGGAAAACATTTTTCTTGTGTATGATGTTATTATGGTTTAATAATATCAGTGTGTTTCACTTCGAATACTCACGACATATTTCGCCTATGTATGTGTGTTTTCCGAGGGGTATGAGTAATACACACTGAATTTGAGTTTACAATCATTATTATGGGATATTCTCACTATACTAAACACCAATCGAAGTCCTTGACTCTACTAACATACCTTGTGACGTCACAACGGTTAAGACAACCAGTACAAATACAATTCGTAGCGCCATCATGTAGATACACGTTCTGAACTAAATAAAAAAAGGAAAAATGTATATTATACAATATATGGTTGGCTTATTCAAATGTTGAACAAGCCACTCACATAGTAATGACTCAACATATTCTAAAATTACCCAATCATCGCCCCTTTTGTTGACATTTTTAATAGCATTTTTGTTGTAAATTTCAATATAACCACAATCACGGGCCAGAGATGACATATACTTACACTAGGACATTACGACTACTTCTAGTAAAGCATATATGCACTGTTAACAATCCTCATATTACATCTTTAATAATGGTTAATTGCCCTCCGTTATTCTCACGACTATTTAATTGGTGAAATATAGCAGATTCTATTGTGTGCTCGACTTAAAACGGCCTTGTTTTAAAACGCAGTTGAGACGCCCGTGGATACACATTGATCCAAAGTGATATGAAATAAGCGCGATTCAAAACATAAAATATTTCTCATCAGAGTTTTTAACAGCCAAGTGCAGCTTAAGCAGTCAACTCGAATTGCAACTTTAAGACCGTACCCCACAGAACATAAATCCCTGCTGGGCTTCAATAGAACTAACTGCGTCACAACTATTGAAATGCTCTCCACAATTACACATAACATCGTCATCGTCTTAAACACACAAAAAAACATATCCAAATTATATTAAAACAATATTCAGACATTAATTTCAAGATGACATTGACACGTACTGAATTTGCGAGTGGTAGAAGAATAGTTTTCCTATAACGGAGTGACAGCTTTAACGAATGTCATTAATATAAAATACGTTCGTTCTGAGTTCAAGTGATCAGTACCAATTCATATACACCTTTGGTATACCCAGTCATAAATATCGACCTCCATTTATTTCTATTCACCAACTGCATTTTAAAACAATTCGCAATGAAAAAATCGCTATTTTTTTTCTTCGATATTGGAATCACCCTCTATGGTTTTCGTATAGTAAACTTATTCAACAAAACCCGGAAACAAATAAAATAAATCGTATTATCACGAGTGAGAGTGGAGTGGCTTGGAGAGGGTAATAACTTGACAGAAACTTTTAGCTGTACGTATCAAGTTCGGTAAAATGTGAATCAGGATCCGGTTAGGCTATGTACGAGGTTATATCTGTGTTATATTAAAGCTTATCCCATATGTTTATATAAATATAATGAGATATTTTTCATCCCGGTGGGCGCTCAGCTTAACTGTTTACGCTTATTTCGTTAGCCCGTACTGAAGTTTTACACCAGTTCTTAAAACGGATTAGATCCTAGTTAGTTCTGCCTCGCAGCATATCCTTATCTCAACTATTTGACCAATAAAGAGCGCTCGTTTATTTTACGCAACCATACATTACAAATCGCAATAAAATCGCGGTGTTTTGGTACTAGTCATTAATGCCGGTTTATCATAACAAACAAACAATCTGACAAGTTACATAATAAGATCCTTATTTTGTAAATAAATGAAATGTATTGTATACGAGAATTGGTACACGAAATATAGAATGCGCACTAGACAACGGGTAAATTCGGACGCATGAAAAAGTATTACAATTCCAGTTTACTTAAATACAACCTCACCATGGCAATGGTCGTAATTAGAGTATGACGTCTTTATATCAGCACAAACTCGAAATAAAAAAGCTATATTGTGACGTAATTCACATGCGAATAAGTCATAAAAAGTTTATAAACGAAACGCCCGGGTATTTGGTAGCGTACATAATGCCTCTGGAAAAGTTATTATGTTTGTCAGAAATATTTTGGCAACTCTATGACAACAACAGTACAATGCCTAGCATTATAATACCATGAACAGACAAACAAGTAATTAACTGCCAAGTCAGCGAATTACACACGACCCCCCCCCCCCCAATACTGAATCAATGAACACCGTTCTTTACACATGTAATAGTGGGGGAATATGCACATACATGTATATATATACATTAAAATATTCGCATTATAGAGTTCATAATAGAGAAAATAACAACGTATAAAATTAAGGAAAGCATCAAGAGGTACTGAAACTCCAAAATGACGAGTGGACATAGCCACTTTGAAATCACCTTCTACGGATACTTCAAAATTAAACCTCTACAATTTATAACACACATAATCCAAAGTACACACCTAGTACATTCGCTATTCTGATTAAATGTTTTAATGTTATAGTTTAGGTGTATTCGAATATTAATTTTCAGTCACTATTAAAATAAGAATTTTGTATACGTTTGAACTTATTAACTCAATGCCCAAGAAAGACAGCAGATAGACAAAGATGTTCACATTTTGCTCTGTTTTTTGAGTAACTAACTTTTTAGTTTTTTGTCTGTTACCTACCTTTAATAATTAATACATACCTTGGCCACAACATATTCATTTGTCAGTTGATGTCAGCACATGAATTTATTGTTTGTTCATGGTATTTCAAATCTGCGCATTTCCGTTAAACTCAGCAAAGACAACCTTGTTGATCGCTTTGATTATAACAATGCTTAACTAGTTATGTATCTTGGGATTAGTATGGTGTATCGTAATCTCATGTTCCGAGAGCCAGTGGCAATGTGCTGTTTTGATTTCAACTACGACATACAAATCATGTCTGTATTTATCTAAATACATGTTTAGTTTGTCTAAACCTGACTGACATGAGAAAATGCTACTAAGTGTTATTGTGAAAGTAAAAAACACACATTAAAAGCAAATTATAACAAATAAACAGTTCTTTACGAAGGAGAAATGTCACTTACTGTTTCCGCGGCAATGGTGTGTCTGCAAGAGTTGCGTCGGTCAGTAAATAGTGAGCAACGTAAAAGTAGCCACGCGGCTATATCAAAGAAAGTCCTTGTTGACTAGCTAAAGTTTAATCGACACGTAAGCAAAACGAATAAAACAAAAATGGGTTCTGCTTACAAAGCCATTGACCAGCTATAAATGACTTATAGAGCAAAGTCCAATAGAGAGAAGTTTTGCTACCTGTTTTGAAATGTTACGACCGATTTGTTATGATTACTGAAACCAAACATCAATCATGACAGGTTATACTTTTCACTTGTACATTCCGACATGCTCTCTAACACCACACAATAGTTAAATTGACGATCTGTTTAAACCTCCTATTTCAGTACAGAATAAGTTAAAAACGTCTGACACTATTTTGTTGACGACACTGTCACTCAGGTTTAATATGTAACCCGAGTATATGGCTGAACACCGGTAATTAACGTGCGGAAAATTTATCCCTGAAAATAACACTTTTGTTCAAATTGTTATTGCCATTTGGTTAGGAGGGAAAACAATCTGAAAAATGTTTCATAGTACGTGTTTGGATTGCCTACTTCATACTTCCCGCCACACTGTCTCGATTTGTTGCTTATATCTGTTTGTCATAAATTTCAGTTATTTGAATTATTTGCATCTAGATTCCACTAATAATCACTCAATTCTACCCAGAAAAGAGAGTGCTGACAGTGGTATGTAAATGACAGTATATAAGTGTCAGAATATTACAATACCAACAACATATAACTACTAATGCTCTCGAGTCTATTTGACTGAACTGCTAAATTGTTCACGTGTTAGTGACCCTGTTTTTAAGTAATATAGCTTCCTTCTTAGCACGAGTTTCCTTGTGTCACCTCTGCCATTAGTAGAAACGATTTCGCCGTATAATTCATGCATGCCGCTAAGCATATCCAGATTATCTGAACTCAATACTTAATAGGTTCATAGCGGGAAGTTTGGTCTCCTTACATAAGTGTTACACTACTGACTAACTTAGGAAGCCAAATTGAGCGTATGTGGTTTCGAATCGTGGTCAATTGTTTTAATAATTTGTAGATAAAAAACAAATTTGACAACACGCTTGTTATTGTGTATACGCACGTTATATATAACGTATTTCGTAAAGCATGTTTTTGTGTTTATTTTATTTCAAGTGAAATTTACAAATGACTATTTTTTAATAAAAATTACGTGAAAAAATAAACAAAAAATGTAGGAAACTAAATAAGTGGTATTATTACTTCTATAATTCTAATTTCATTACTAATATAGTGTATGCTAAGAGAACATATATGAAAATACACATGTATCTGTGCATCGTAACACATTAGAAACATTATTGTAGTATAAAAATGAATAATACGAATTTCAATTATGTTAATGTTAGATGCATGTATAAATACACATTGTCATCAGTAGAATAAATGTATTTTATACTCTATTTGTTAAGATCGACGGTGAATAATTACATTTGTACTCAATTACTAATTGTACACTTGTGTACCATTATTTTCTTTTATGAATCCTAACAATTTTAAATAATGATTCACCCTGATTTACATTCAGTTAAGCAATCAGTTCAATTTTCAAAAGTGCTGATTACGAATATACAATTGATAAGTAAAACAACTTCGAGTATCTTTTAATACACCCTAATACCAAACCTACATTAATGAGTTTAATTATAGTGTAATACAGCCTGCCAAACTATGACTACAAAAGTTTAATTCGTTCAGTGGTTGAATCAATTGATTTAACGTGCTTGGGAATAACAAACTTAGACATCGCCATCAACGGTGCCTTCACATCCATGATTCTTCTTGTATGTGTTTCTTGTATCCTTTCCCGCTCGCACCTTTATCACGACAATATTTACCAATAAAGACCGCAGACACTGCTACAAATGCAGCAAATACAAGCGCCAGGACACAGGAAACTAAGAACACGTCTGCAAAAAGACAAAATATAGTACGAGTATGACAATTACTTGGGCTTAATAAAACAAATCTTATGTGACAAAAAAGACTGTTTTACTTACTTTTCAATATTTTGATTTCGTCGTGATTGACGTCATACATGTCGTCACGATCTAAGAGAGAACAATATTGTTATTAATATTCATGCATGGTGTTGGTGTACGGAGAGATTTCTGAAATTTGCTCAATTTAGGGAACGGCGAATAACATACTGTAAAACTGAATTGCAAAGTATATGGTACCACCTGAGTTTATTATGACAGAGAGTGTTGTATCGGGGGTTACGGGATGGGGAGATGGGTCATCTCCATTTTTGTTGTTTTTATTGACAAATTCTCAAGATCATTTCACCATTCATGAACCATCTGCGCATGTACCAATCTATTCTTGCGGTTGCTTGCTGAAGTCAATACATCGGGAGGGGGGGCACTATGTGCCCCTGTACATGAACTTATTCTTCCTCAATATGATAGATTGCTAATAATTGTATCATTAAATTTAATTCGCAACCCCTAAATGTTTCTAACTTGTTTCTGATCTAACAGCCTGTACTATACCAAACACAAGAGAGTAAACAAAACATGTACTTATTTTTTTGGCTGTGGAAAATCATACCTCAGAATACAAAAGATCGCGAGTGCATATAATATACTCGAGTATTGGAATATTTCAACCGATTACATATAATTAATAATTTTCCCCCAATTTCTACGCATTTATTTCAGAATATGACCATTTCTAATCATCGTGATACAAGATACCTCAGTTTATGGCATGCATGAAGCGCCCCCAATCATACATAATTTGCATTCCTGCCCTTTGTCCTGCCAATTGAGAGCACGCATGTGCAGTTTGACAACTTGAAGGCTGGCATCGTGATGACTAGAAATGTATTGACTACAACAACCAACCACACGAAAAGATCGCCAGGTCCCTTTTGCAAGTACTTGTTTCATTGAAAGCTAAGGCCAAATAAAAGACGCTTTTCTGTTCACAATAATTCATATACTAGTATATGGAGACATATTGTATGCTGTTAAAATATTAGTAAACTATCAGTTCAAAGGTGAAGCGCATGAATGTTATTTGGATACTTGCCTAATCCATATTTTACCCATGTTTAATTTACAAATGGCCGAGTGCAAAACTTGCCCATGCTTATATCACCACATGCAGAGTGCATAACTTACCCATGCTTATTTCACCACATGTCGAGTGCATAACTTACATATGTTTATATCACCACATGCCGAGTGCATAACTTACCCATGCTTATTTCACCACATTCCGAGTGCATAACTTACCCATGCTTATTTCACCACATGCCGAGTGCATAACTACCCATGTTTATTTCACCACATGCCGAGTGCATAACTTACCCATGCTTATTTCACCACATGCCGAGTGCATAACTACCCATGTTTATTTCACCACATGCCGAGTGCATAACTACCCATGTTTATATCACCACATGCCGAGTGGATAACTTACCCATGCTTATTTCACCACATGCCGAGTGCATAACTACCCATGTTTATTTCACCACATGCCGAGTGCATAACTTACCCATGCTTATTTCACCACATGCCTAGTGCATACCTACCCATGTTTATTTCACCACATGCCGAGTGCATAACTTACCCATGCTTATTTCACCACATGCCGAGTGCATAACTTACCCATGCTTATTTCACCACATACCGAGTGCATATCTTGCCCATGATTATT